ATGTGGCACTCTTCAGATAAATTGACCAATTGGTCAATTTATCTGAAGAGTGCCACATACTGTGGTACGAAACTATTTAGTAATAAAGATGCCTAGTGGATTTTGTTGATTTGTTGTACCTTAATTTAAATATGCTCTGGTTTTCCATTGAGCGCTTTGCCAAACGTTTTTATAATATAGTCACAACTCTGAGTTTCGCGCTCAATGCGATCTTCAGGCGACAATGTTTAAATCTCGATTAAAAATTCCTGTATGGATACGTGCGAGTTCGTTAGGCTACCTGCGTGATTGTATTGTGTGCGCACGTTCAAATTTTTCCGCCAAGAATTGCTTCCGGTGGCAACACTTTGAGAATAGCTCACATTTCCTGTTCAACAATCTTTTATTGTCACCTTCCCAGTTTCTCTTGGAAGCATAGGTTGCAACTTTTTGCGCCGCTGCGATAAGGTGATGCTTCCTTCAGAATGGACCACTTGATGTTGAATGTACGTTTCTTGTAATGTTTTTCAAGTTCCAAATGTGTTTGGACAGCTCAGTGGATTTAACATAGCAGGTATCTTTGAATGAGGTCTTGTGGTTGTAAAAACGTTTCTTAAACGTGTCATTTGTCATCCCAATATAATCTCGAATTACTCCTGTGTCGTCCGTAACCTCGGCTTTATATAGACAACGCTATTTGTAAGGCAATTATTGTTTAAGGGACATTCAGTGCTTTCTATGCAGTTACAGTTTTCTTTGGTAGATGTTACTATACATCACTTTTATTCTTTAAATGGGTACCGGAAGTTATGTTTGGAGATGACGCTTTTACACTATCCATGCAACTATAGCTTACTTTGACCGAGTTTCTGTTAAAGATCTTGTGCAGCGGATTAGACGCAGGATTGATGTAGTTGCATCTACCAGAGAAAACTGTAACTGCATAGAAAGCACTGAATGTCCCTTAAACAATGATTGCTTTACAAAGAGCGTTGTTTATATAAAGCCGAGATTTACGGACGACACAGGAGTAATTCGAGATTATATTGGGATGACATCAAACACGTTTAAGAAACGTTTTTACAACCCCAAGACCTCATTCAAAGATACCAGCTATGTTAAATACACTGAGCTGTCCAAAGACTTTTGGAACTTGAAAAACATGAAACGTACATGCAACATCAAGTGGTCCATTCTCAAGCAAGCATCACCTTATCGCAGCGGCGCAAAAAGGTGACAAGTAAAGATTGTTGAAAAGAGATGTGAGCTATTCTCAAAGTGTCGCCACCGGAAGCAATTCTTGGCGTGAAAATTTGAACGTGCGCACGCAATACAATCACGCAAGTAGCCTAACGAACTCGCACGTATCCATACAGGAATTTTAATTCGAGATTAATTAAAACATCGTCGCCTGAAGATCGCATTGAGCGTGAAGCTCAGAGTTGTGACTATATTTTAAGTAAACAAATTAATTACATATATATATATATATATATATATATATATATATATATATATATATATATATATATATATATATATATATATATATATATATATATATAAATTGTGTAATGTAAATAGGGAATAATAAATAGACACGACAATAATGAGTCTTTCTAATCGGAAGAGTCCAAAAAACTTTGTAGAACTTGCAACATCCTTATTAAGCTGATACATAGATATTCATTTATTGGAAAATATACAAGTAGTACTAAATAATCGGAAACAACACTATCATTTTAATTCACGATTTTGTTATTTTATTAGAATACTACAATTATGCTTATATCCAGTAGTAAGTAAATTTTTTACGATATCAAGAATCCATACCCATATTTAAGTGGCGGTTTTCATTGGGGCCGCTAAAATTTCCGTTTCCTACTGTAAACCACCAGGGTCACCAGTAACAATAAGTGTCACCACTTTCAACGTTCATGCGTCATATCCGGTGAATACGAAATGATTCACGGTACTAATTCTGCATCGAATATTGTTTGCTCTGTTGTTTTCTAACTTTTGCCTTCAAATGAGGCTCCTAGTTAGGCACAAGCAGAACTTGAAATCAAGTTCTTTTTACCGAGTCAATTCCTTGTTTTCTCGCAACCTTTCCATTGTATTTACGCGAAGGTCCTTTTTGTTTGTTTCAGATAAAATCTTCAGGGCTTCTCATAGCGGGGGGGGATTTGCCACTGACCCTTAGTTTGAAGAGGGTCAAAATAGGTATAATTAAAAAAATATTTGGAATGTTTTTTATATAAATAATTCGGTATGAGAACAATTTTTAGACCTTCGTTATACTGATATTGGTCCAGAAATATGTGCTTTACTCGTATTTTTACAGGTATTTGTCCGGAAACATTTTTATATAACCTTAATGTAAATGCTGTTTGTCCGGAAAATATTTTTTAACCTTTTTTGCAAATATCCGGAAATTCTTTTTCCTTAGGCTACCTCACAACAGCTCGCCAACATTTTTGGGAAAAGGTAGGGCTCTCGAAATATAAATTTGCTCCGGTACCCGGATTTCTCTGGGAAGCCCTCAGAACATCTTTAAAACTGGTGAGAGTCATTTTTATTGATTGCCGTTTTAAAAAGCTCTTAATTAATTAAAGCCAAATTATAGTCAAATTATATTCGCATCAGTCTCGGTGATTAGCGGTGATTAGTATAAACCTACTAGTAGGCTATCATGTATCGTTTGTTCTGATATTGGCAACGTTACTAGTAGGCTATTAGTGGTAACCTACTGGTAGCAACAAGCGGCGAAGGTCGAGAGTGAACAGGAGGGGAAATTATCCGAGCTTACGCGAAAACTGCTCGAGTTTTCAGCGGAAGAAGAAGATATGCGTGCTTCCACTTGGTTGATTTAAAAAAACATAAACAACATGAACGAAGCCATCGAAGGACTATTTTTGCAGCGGCTGTTTAGGCCCACCAATCATCAGAAAAATTGGATTCACTGACAAAAATGTTGCAGTAATACTTTGATTTCCTTAACTGTCACATATTTTAAAACTATTAATACCGATTATTTCAGGGCTAAAGAAAAAAGTAATTTCGTTTCAAAATGTACGTCGTCTGATAGCTTCAATAGAATGCGAAATTCAAACCAAAAATACTAATACTTCTTCATTTTTTACAACGCCAAGAAGTCCAATATTGACTTAAAAAGGCTTTGAAATTTAATGTAAAACAGCAATATTTCGTTGGCACAACCTGTAACATCGCAAAATTCGTGTTTGTAGAATTTTGAACGAGCGAAAATTGTGTGAAAAAATAATACACAATTTATGCTTCGAAATGAGGGTCATAGAAATTTGTGATTGCTATGTCTATCTCTTTTTTTGAATACATTGAAAACCTAAAAATAATATTTT